TTCTATCATCAGTGACATTTACTATTATATATTAGAAAATTTATAGCTATCTTAAAGGCTTTTAATTATTAATTTATATGCGTTTGTATTTCCATTCTGTGTTTCGTAAGAGTTTAATGTTTTATAATTAATTAAAAATAGATAATTTTTTTAGTTTCTAAAAAAATGTAATGGGTAGTTTCTTCAATAGCTGATTAATATTATTAGCCATGTTATATAATAACTATGGTATGGAGAATAAATTAGTTAAAATTACATTATATCCACTCAAATGTAGTCATATACAATGAGAAATAGCTGAAATAGTTAAAAATTCAATCAAATTGAACTATTAGTTAAATAAGATGGTTAAATGACCAACGTTAGTCAAACGTATTAAGCTAGAATGCCTAATTTCCTACGAAATACAAAAAATTTTCTTTTATACTTCCACAATAATAGTATGGATAAAGTATTACTAATGTACTATTAGATCTAGGTGTAATGTTAAAAAATGTAGCAGTGCGATCATTACAAGTGGATCATGAAATACCAAACAGCAGTAAGTTAACAACTTTTTTTTACAAAATTCATCCAATGTAAAATGAGTTTGCGTTAAATTTTAAATAATGGATAATTAAATTTTAGACAAAATGCCAAGAATTGTAAAAGGCAGGCCGTATTTGGAAATCGTAAGACAACCTTGTCCGATTGTAAAGTTTCCGCACGAAAAGGAGTCAAGCAAGTACGATAGCCATATTTTCGGCGAAGCAAAAGGACACGCAAAGAAATCGTACATGACAATAAAGGTAAATTTTTAATATTTTGTAACAAACGATATTATGTCATTTGAAATATATAAAAAAACAAGCGTCGGGAAGGTTGAATAACGGATATACTACAAAAAAAAATAAAAATTTTTTTCAATTATTTACAGTTTTTCAATAACATATATAAAATGTTTCTGAGTGTATGCTGCGTAACGGCTGATTACCCGTATAATTTCCACCCAAATTCAATTGTTACGAAGACCGAAAACCACAAATTCATACGCAACGGGTTCATACACGAGATTCCAATCGAAGCCAACCAAAAAGAGTTAGTTTTCAACGAGCCTCTGCTATTTTCGATACAGCATCTCAAAAAGAGCGATTACGAGGCCAAACAGTTGGAAATAGAAGGACTCAAAGTCAATCCATTCGGTTGTAAGTTTCTTCAGCCCACAAGTAATGTTTCTACGTTGTTAAGTACTCCCATTGTTTCGTTTATTTGCGTTTTCAGCTGTTCCAGAATTTTCCGAAGCCGTGAAAAGTATGGACGTGCATCGGGTTCGTCTAGGATTTTTCGGATACTACGAGAAAAATGACGAAATCATGCCACTTGACCTCGTTGTTTCCAACGTCATTACAGATGCAAGTGAGTTTTTGACCAATACTGCTGAGTTGACGCAAAAAACATACAAAATATATGTGATTTTTGTTGCCAGGGATCGTTAAAAGACCCTGCATAAGAAGCCTGAGTCGCGGTTTTGGGCCCGTCAATGGAGGAGTGTACTTGATTTTATGTTGTGATAATATAGACCCGAACGACACTAAGGTGGAGTTTTACCACGAAAACGAAGATAAAGAAATCACCTGGAAAGTGCAAGCTAATCCCGTTTATTTTCATGAACAAGTGGGTCGAAAGTGCATTGGGAGGCTAATTTTTTTCATTTATTATATATTGCGTTGTACATGTATTAATATTAATCCACGCTGAATTTTTTCAGGCAGCGATTATTTGCAGGACGCCTTCCTATTACGATCAAAACACTAAAAGTGTCATTGACGTCAATATTCAGCTGATAAAAGGCTCGTGCGACCTCAGAAGTATCCCATACCCATTCATGTTGTGGCCCAGTAAGTAACTTTACCACAAAGTAGATATAAATAATCATACCAGTGTCTACCTATATATGATTTTTTCATTGATATGTAAATCATGTAAATTATGTTTTTTTTTTTTTTTGTTTTTTTTCGTAATTGTAAAGTTACAAAATATAATTATAAAAACATTATTTATTTTCATATTAACTTTAATCAAATACAATTTTTTCTACTTGTTTTGAACAGACGAATAAACGAATCGCTTGAAATCATTTTTATATTATCAATAACTTACTTTTCATACATATCAAATACAACTAGAATTTAATGCAACAAATAAAAATACTTTAGTCTCGTTGCAATAAATTTTTAGGATATGATATTTACAATTTTTCCAATACCTTTATCGAAATTATAGAAATTATTTCAAGCCAAATTAATTTACTTCCAATAAATATATTATAAAAGGCACTGGTATCTTCAAGCCTACAAGTAAAAAAAAACTATATGCAATAATCAATTTAACAGTGAAAAATAAATTTATATCTGATTTAAATTTTATTCTTTTGATGTATGTGATAAAAATAAATAATCACCCATTCTTCGACTTAGCTATTCGTGGCACTTGAGTTTTTTTCCACGGGAACTAAGTAAGCAAATGTGAATCATGTACTACGTAGAGTTGAACCATGCGACCAATTATGAACAAAATTTTTTAATATATTTCTTAATTCAGAAAATTCATATTTTGAAGTAAATCTTTAAAATTTCTCTGTTGGACCATTCAATGTTGTTTCAGTAAATTTTTTATTTCTAGTTCCCGTCAGAGTCATGAATCACCTGTCATCTTTGATGTCACAGAGCGCATCAATAGGTAAGAATTTTTTGTACATGTATTGACACCAACAATTATTAATAATGGAACTATCGAGATACGTAGACTGCTGTATTCAAGTGTGCATAATAACAATAAACAACTTACATATTTATAACTCCAAACCGTCAATTTCACATTAATCCATTTAAAACTTCGATTATACCAACTTTCTTAAATGAACAGTTTTGTAATTTCTACATTTTTTACTTTTTTTGTGAAGCCTTTTATGAATAATCAAATACTGTTTAACATAAAAAAAACGTTTTCAATAAAAATATATTATCACAGAAAAACTGCAGGACAGAGTCTTAATCTTCTTCTCTTTTGCAGTAATCCTAACTTTTTTTGGAAAAAATTAATAAATTCTGTAGAGCTAGTTAAATCGATTTGTTTAGTTTTAAGAAATCATTAACTCTACAAAAAATTTATTATTTACAGAGTATCACGATGAAGAAACAAGTAGTGATTGTAAGTCATTTATTCATTAATTTATAATTAAGAAAATATTTTTTAATTTACAAATAACTTCGCCATCTAATGTGCTTAGAATGTTAAAGGAAACGAAACGGTTATCCGTAGAAATGTTGAGAAAATTAATGGATAAATTGAATTTTAATCGACTTTCCTTTTAAATAGACAAACAGTCACATATTGAGAAGACATGATATGAATGTTTTCTAAATTTTAGAATTAAAGTAGACAGTTCTCGTACTGTGGCAAAAATGTCGGTTTTTCTATCTCTACGCGTATGTGCATAAAAAGTCATATCTGAGGATTTCTTTGACTACTTTTTTTGTTTTTGAATACCTATCACCTCAAAAAAATAAAATTTTGATTAAAATAATTTTCCTTCTTATTTCAATCTTATCGAATTTAAAAATCGATTTTTTACCTTAAATATTACATGACAAAAAATTGTAGAAATTGAAACATTTTCTACGGAAAAATTTATTTAGATAAAATTTTTTTAAATTAGGTATGTGCGTAAGATTATGTATTGACATAAAATATGTACTCGTGCATAGGTGTAAGTAAGTAAATACACATAGTAATTTGATACCTCAGAATTCTGTCGATTAATTTTGATCAACAAGGCTTATTTGTTATGAATTTAGGTACTAATTACCGCTAAAAAAATTGGGTTTCATCGACTGTTCTTATTTTATTTTAAATTATTTCAATTTTTGGGAATTGATATTTTTGAAAATATCAGATAACAACAAAAAATAATTACAAAATCAATTACGAGGCCAAACAGTTGGAAATAGAAGGACTCAAAGTCAATCCATTCGGTTGTAAGTTTCTTCAGCCCACAAGTAATGTTTCTACNATAATAATAATAATAAAAGGATCATTTTAATCTACTCAACTAGCAGCAAATTTTATTTTGCGATAAAACTGTTTTAAATTTTCTGACAGATCAACGATTCCTTCAACATTTTATTTTTGTTTTTATTGTTATGAACCCTATAATAAGTATTATGATTGTGATGATTATTATCTTATTTATTGTAATAATTATTGTGTTCGTTATAGCTGAAGACGAGGAAAAAAATGAAGAAATGGACATTGAAAGTAGTAGAGATGTTGCTGAGTCCGTAAAAAAACAAACAATGAAAAGAATGAGGGAGTCTAGCACCCTAATTTCAATAAAACCCTTACCAAAAAGACCGGCAAACGGTAAGCAAAGCCCTGGCAAATGCACAATAGTTGTGTTTGGCTTAGCAGTTTCAAACACCCGGGGTCATCCATCAACTACCTAAACGTATTTTTATATTTGAATTATAATTAAGTACTTATGTGTACAGAAATAAATGTACACTTCAATATCCCAAGAGTAACCCCGAACTCCCTGGGCTACTCAGCCGAACAAAACTAACAAGTTTTGTAATTGTCTGCTAAAGACTTACTTTTCGATGCGATATAATCGAAATTTCACTCAATTTTATTTAATTTGAATAATACGATAAAAATATTTTGTAAACAGTTGATTCAGGGCAAATTAAAAAGGGATACCCAGTACCTCCGCCTTTTAGGCAACTTGGAAATACTTCGGATGCAGAACTACAGAAAATAGTTAATCAATTTTCTCTGGGAACAACAGAGACCCCCCAGACATTGGCTGGTAAGATGATAAAAAATTACAGAATTCAAGATTTTTCAATGGATTCAGCAGTGTAATTAAGTTATTAAAACGCTTCTATCTGTTTGCCCATGGATTGCAGTAAAATGCGAAACGGACGTCAAGTTGGACACATCAAAGAATCTTCCAAATAGTAACCCAAATATGTTTTGTACGCCTCAACAAGGAGTACCACCAGAATCGTTGCAAGTCCCTTCCACATCACAGCAAAAGTGCAATACGTTTGATACCTCGTCCGTGCTAGAAAATCACCAAAATGCAATTTACAACGAATTTTGTCCGCTTCAAAATAATACAGCAAGTAAGTAGATTAACAGTTTTTAGGTTTGTCTTGCTCAAAATTTGCATCGGAAGATGATATTAGATTTCAATCATGTATTTACATTTTTATCGATCAGAGTAGTCTTTATAAATTTTTTGAAAATTATTCTGAATCTGATAGGTTGAACTCATTTGTATTACAATTACGAAGATGTTATAAAAATAGCATCATGCAAAAATTTAATGTAATATCTCTATGTTTTCATTGGTAAAATTATAATGAAAAATATACCAATTGTCTTGAGATTTTATTAACTAAAATTTTTCAAAGTAAGTCAACCACAGTCACCCTGAACAGACATACTTATCGGTTTATCTTGATTACATTTTTGGATTATACTCCGTGAAAACAAATCTATTTTCATTTTCCTTTTGAAAATTCCTTTATTTTGTATAATTTGAATCATTTACTTTATTTACTTATGTTGTAATAAATACCATTTGGCTCAAACAATTTGTATAAAACAAACCCCAAAAAAACTTTATTTTTTAAAAATCTACAATCAGCAGATATTGACAAAAAATTTTTTTTTTAATTGATAAGGTCTAATTATTATTGGGACTACATTTTAGTGTCTAACTTTGCATACTATATTCATCAAAGTTACGAAATTTTTACTTATACTTTTACAATATGAATGAACAAAGAAATAATAATTAAAAAGAAAAAAAAAAAAAAAATTTGACTCGAATAAATACATATGACGTAGGGACAATGACATTTTTTTTAATTAGGTGAGAACCCCACGTAACATATGACTTAGTCCCATGACAAATGTAGTCAAAAATAGCTTTTTATTGAACTATTTCTTATAAATTTCTTTAAAAAATAGTAAATTTATTTCACTTTATTTATTTCTACAATCTCATCCAACTGAATCCATCAAAAAAACTACTTTAACTAATCACGTAAAGAATAAAAAAATGAGCTGATTTTCGACGATTTTATTGATGATCAGATTATCCTGCTATTCGGGTTTTTGGTCCCGTACAAAGGAATTCCAGCAAGAATGCTATAGTAGACAATTCCGTACGTGTTGGATTTCATGTCAAAAATTCGTTGACAATTTATAGGAATTCCCGTAGGATTTTAACGTTTAAGAAAGCTTATAAAATTCTGCAGGAGATTATGCAGTATTTTTCCGTTGAAAAGAGCGTATAAAGCTTTGCAAACATTTCTACAAAACATCCGTAAGATTTTACTTCCGAAATAAGCCTATTGAATTCTAAGTTTAAAATCTCACAGAAAATATTACAAATTCCATACGAATTAGGGATCAAATGATTCATAGCGTCATGTGGTAGAAAAGTCCATTAGTGTACACGCAGACTTGCTTTCGCGGAGTGAGATGGAAAACCATTTGAGCGGCGAACACGTGAAAGGCGATCGATTGATAAAACCTAATCCATCACAATGGTTTGTACAGGTAACTGGGCGCAAATGAGCTCATTGGATGCAAACCCACCCGTGAGTTCCGTTGAGCAACCTGCAGGGACACCCAACGAATGTTCCATCCCAGACACCGTCAAGCGGCTTTACTCGAAGGAACAAGAACGGGAGGATCAAAATTTGAAGTTCTTGGGCGTGGATTTGGTGGACTTTTTCAAGAACTCGAAACCTTTGGCTCCGCTGAGCCCATCCAAGCTTGGCAATAATAATATTGTTGAAAATCTCAGCGTTAACAACGTTTTGTCTCAAGACACATTTGGTGCTTCCTCCGATGGGTTGCAACGTGAACCACAACGTCCTGTAGAGAGTGAGTCAACCAAAGGTAAGAAACTAAAGTTGTCAAACTCTATTTTTTTTTTTTTTTTCACAGAATCATCGTCAACAAAATATCCCGCAAGTCCAGCAACTACAGCTCGTAAGCAGGACAACGACATTTTTTCCTGCGTAACAGGAGTAGACGACGAACTCTTCCGTATCATCGCGGACCTGCAGAACCATGATTATCCAACTTCGGATGTTCAAAAATCTCAGCAGTACACCCCTCACCCGGTGAACTCACCAATGGAGAGTAATTATTTTCCTTGCTCGACGAACATGTACCAGCAGCCAACAGGTATATACATTATCCGTCTATATAGGTGTACGTTTCGGCGCACAAATGTGTCGAGCTAGTTTGTTTAGTAAGATAATTTTTGTTTGAAAAATCGATCGCGTTTTGATTCAAACGTTGTTTTTTTTTTTTTTTTGTTTTTTTTTTTTCATTTCAATGTGGTTTTACAGCAGGTCATCAGCCAATGCCACCGAATGGTCCTCATAAGCATCCGGGGTTGATGCGAGTGAAATCTGAGCCACACGGTTACTGCAACGACCCGAACATACCGCAACTGGTATCGGCACCGTGCGCCCCCCAATGCTGTTGCAACGTCCATAATCCGATGCAAGTGCAAGTTAATTACACAAATCCAGGGCAGTTTTGTGCTCGAAATCAATGTAGCCGGCAAATGAGTAATCCGCATTATCCAGTTTCGATGTCATATAATGGCCCGTATCAGTGGAGCGGTCGCGGTGTGGATCAGCCGCAAGATAATTTTATGAATGTCGTGGCTCCTGCCGTTGACTGTCAATCTAATGGTTGTACCATGGCGCATAGGCAACCGTGTGGTTCGAATACGTACTACAAACATGGCCATCAGAATATGGCGCGTACAGAGGTTGATTCCGTGAACGCATCGTCGCCTGATTTTTGGCATCAATATGGGGGACACAGTGTGCCGCAATTGCAAATGAATAATCCAGGTATTATTTTATATAATCATTGTTTTTATTTGTATCATTAACCTTTTTCACGGAGTTATTCGGAAACTCAGGTGGTATTTGCGTCGATTGGATGTCAACGGGTCCACCAAGATTTTTTTCGTACTGTGTACAAATAATTGCTTGACGGTTTGGCCCGAGCGAAAATTATTTTAACGAATACAAAGTGATGGTTGATACTAAGAATTATTAAAATCCAGATTTAAGACAAGTAATAAAATTAAACAAGTTACGTTATTTTTATTATTCGTCATAAATTTCATTCTAGAAACATAGGGAAAAATAATAAATGGAAAAAACTTTTATTGCTTATCATAACCATCTGGTACTTCACTTTGAAAATTTCATGAAAATTAGTTTCTAATAATTATTAATAAGATATCATTTTTATTGTATTATATTACACATGTATAAGAATCAAATAATAAATAATAATAATAATAATTGTGGGCACTTGTACGAATCAATCTCAAGAACAAAAAAACAAAAAAATATCTAATAATAAGTACTTAGAAGTTTAAATAATAACGTGTCACAAATAATTTCAGAACAATAAGTTTTATTAGTTGTCTCAAATCTAGACTTTGTAAACTGTTATTGTTTATTTCTATTTTTGACTTGTTGTTCAAAATAGTTATTACCAATTAATCGAATAAAATTATTTCTGCTTGGGTGTAGACAAATACGGAAGTCTAGTTTCTCACCTTGAAAATTATTCTTTTAAATTCATCGATTAATATCGTATTTTCAGATTTATTGTGAAATGCTTATTTGAAATGTTGTGGATTGTTTAACTGTCGAGTTTCAAGATTTGTTACCGATTTAAAAGATTGATAAACTTTTTAGTGATGATTTTTTGAAGCAAACTTACCTGAAAAAACTATTTAAAAAATTTTCAACTTAATTTGTTTGAACAATGGCAGCAAATAAAAATTGCGAATTTTGATCATAACAATTTAATTTCTAAAAATAGTTTTATTGTAATATACTTAGACTACTGCATGCAGTTCACTTACTAGCTGCATAACTTCTTTCTAATTTAATATAATATGTAGATTCCAAGCAGCTCATGTTATAGCTATAAACATATTCTATTGCATTTAATATTTTTTTTTACTCAAACTTTTTCGTACAGATGTGTATTTTTCATTGCAACAATCGTTCCTTATATGCAATGGCAAAGATTTTTGTACAAGTTACACGCAGGTGTTTTGAAGTAATTAATTTTTCCACTAAAACTTAGCCTATAAAATTAGATTTAAGTAAGCTGAACACGTAAATAAACTCCATAAAAATGCCCCAGAAAATCTCAAGCTTTTAATAGATGCATGTACAAAAAAATTTTTTTTTAAA